AGTATCACAAAAACACTAGAATGGACCAAGATTGAACTTGCGATTTACACCATAGTGAAGATTGAAGGAGAGAGTGGAGAGAAAGTGAGTGAAACTCATTTTTGGAGTCACACAGACACAAGGGAAAGTTGCGATTTACACTAGACTAGAAAAATGGACAATGGAGAGTCTATTACTAGTGGAAAAGTCTTCTACTGGCTGTCCAAATCTTTGGGAGGTATCTATAGAAGAAGAGGAGGGAGAAGAGGGGGAAGGGAAGAAGAAGAAGAAGAAGAAGAAGGAAAAGAAGAAGAGGAAGAGGAAGAAGAGGAGGGAGAAGGAGAAGAAGAAGAAGAAGAAAAAGAAGAAGAAGAAGAAGAAGACTCTCTCTACTCACCTCTCCTTGGTCTTGAAGTTGATATCCCAACCTTGATGAAGTTTCTCCTTACTTAGCTATGGCTTCCTTCTTCTTCAAGCCCTTCCCCTCCTTCCTCTCTCACTTCCTCCCAAGTTGCCACAAGCTCCAAACAGTATGGGTATGGAGTCCTTCCCTCTAGGAGAGCTAATGGGACTCCCTCTAGCCTCTCTCGCCTCCTCACACCCTGGGGGCTATGGCGGATCACCTTCCTGGTGCCAACCTCCCTACGACGAGCCTGCAGAGCTTCTCTCCTAGCTCCTAGTCTCCTCTAAGCTCCCATACTGGCATTGGTTTCCCTCTCCTCACTCCAAGTGAGTGTGGTGCTCTCATGGGCGCATTTGGGCAGCATGGGCACTCCTCATGCAAATGGGAGTGTGGCGGACGGAACTCCCAACTTATGTAAGCTGAAACCATCAGTCCGGCCAGCCCATGGGCCTCCCGATGTGCCCCATGGTGAACCGAGGTACCCCCATGGCCAATTTTCACCACTAGGCCTCTCCGGAGGCACCTGGGCCTCATTTTGGCCAGGTTCATGCAGTCCGAGTGGTTGGTACCAACTCGGACTGCCCATTGGGCCTCCTTTCAGCCTCATGCCATTTGAAAAATGCTGCCCCCTTGAGTCCAAGGCCCAAGGGACAACCTACTTGGGAGAAAAAGGCCTTGTATGCCTTTTTCTCGACTTTTCCTGATTTTGGCCTCCCTTGGGTAGGCCGGAGCATTTTTCCATGTGGCGGCACATTTTCAGCCTTGGATCAGGTTGAGATCCAAGGCCAGCATTATTCCGAGCTACCCCATGGTGGTCATCGCTTCAAATTTGAGCCCCTAAGACTAATTTTTCAATTTTTGGTGCATCTGGCTCTCCTTTTGGGCCAAATGCACAGTTCCGTTTTTTTCCCTCTTTTGTTTCTTTCCATTTTTGGGCTGCCACCTCATTCCGGAGCTAGCCGTTTTGGGCTGGCCCACAAAAAACGGTTGTTTCCCCTCCACCATGAGATCCGATCTCAGATCCATGGCCAAAAAGAAAACCGGTCATTTTCCTTTTGCATTTTCTCTTATTCTTCTCTTTTTAATTCTCTTTTTAATTCAGATAATGGGGAGATATGGCCCCAAGGGTCATATCTCAACAATCCGGATTGCCCTCCCCCATTCTAGGAGGGATGAGGTCATCATTGGGACCTGCCAGTCCCTACTGCAGCAGTCCCAACCGGCCGACACATTCTCCTCCACCCTTTTCTCTCGTTTGTCTCATTCTCCCCCATGTTTCCCTCTTTTTCTTTTCTGTTTCTTTTATTTTCGCTGTGACAAGTGTCAAATAGCTGTGCACTCTCTTTTTAGGCCTTGGAACCTCATTCATGGCCAGGTTCATGGATGGCTGTTTGCCGTTACACCTCGGACCTCAATAATGGTTCCCCCATGCTCCTAAGGGGCTCCATTTTAACTCCGTTTGTCCGATTTTTAGCCCCTTTGCTCCGATTTTCTATGGGCAGCCTTTTTCTCATGTTGGGCCCCTTGAAGCTCTATCTTCACATGCCTAGCTAGTCCGAGATATCCCGAATTGCTGGGCAGCCCTCCCAACTCCTGTTTTTCTCTTATTTTCACCTCTAGCTCTCCCATTTGGGCTCCACTAGTGGTGCTAATATTTTCCACCGTCAAGATCTTCGATCTTGACGGCGCCATTGGCCTTGCGCATCCACTCACTACATTGCCCTGGGGTTTCCCTTGGGACACCTCACGTCCCCGCCGCTTCCCCATGCTAGTCCCATTTTTCCGTCCCGACGGCGGTGCCGTCGACAAAATCCCAATTTTCGGCCTTTATTATTTGGACCCACTCGGTCCCCGACAACATCCCGGACGACGTCCCATTTTTATTTTTGGGACCCCCTCGCCCCCAACAGTCCCAATACTTCTTCCTTGGGTGCCGCGTGTGTGCCGATTTTTCTCGGCCGTGAGATCTTATCTCGCGGTCACCATTTACCGTCCCCACTTTTCCCATGCCTGCGGCACCATTTTCTAGCCTTTTAGGCATGCTGTGGCTCATTTTTTCCTTAGCCTAAGCATCCTCATGCAGTCCGTTATTTCTCGGACTGCAATCCTGGCCATTTTCCTAGTCCCACGGCCCCACAACATGCCCCATGCTAAGGGAAAATGAAGCGTTCAATTTTTAAGTGCATCCGGGCTCAAATCAATATTGGCTCCGAATGCACCAAAAGCATGTGTTTAGCCTCCCCCATACAGTCTGTTGCAACTCGGACTGCAATAGGGGTCAATTCCCTTGCCCCAATGCCCCACAACTAGCCCCAAATTGAAAGAAAAAGAAACGGCCAACTTCCAAGTGCATCCGGTCCTCATTTTGGCTCCCGGTGCACCTAAAACATGTGTTTGGCCTACCTCATGCAATTCGTTGCATCTCGGTTGCATGAGGGCTTGATTTTCCTTGATTTTCTCTGCAAAATCAAGAGAAAATCACAATACTTTGTAACCAACATATGCCAGAATGAATCTGGTCACAAATGCACCCCTCCTAGGTGGCCGTTTTTGGCTGTTAGTGCCCTTTTGACTTTTTCTTTTTTTTTCTTTTTTTTTTTCCTCCACTTGTGGACAGTAGGGACCTGCCAGTCCCTACTTGCTGCAGTCCCTACTGACGGCCAACTCACTCATCCTCTCTCACTTCCCATTTTCTTTTTCTTATTCTTTTTTTTTTTTTTTTTTTTTTTTTCTCATTTGCATGCCAAGTGTCAACTAGCCGTTAAGGCCCTTTTCTAGGCTCTTCCTCTTAGTTTTGGCCCTTCCCATGCTCAAGGGCCAGTCTGTTATTTCTCGGACTGCACTTGTGGCCTTCCCATGCCCATGGAAGTCTCCGTTTGCCTCTATTTCTCCCAAACGGTAGGCCCCCATATTCCGATTTTCTCCTGGAGGCCCATTCTTCCCATAGAGTCCCTTTTGGGTCCATTTTCTTGGGGGAGCCCAATCCGAGATTTTTCGGATTGCTCCCACGCCTCTACCTCCATGTTTCTTTGCCTTTTCTTTTTCTTTTGCCCTTCCCGCTTGCTCACACTAGTGCTCATGCTAGTGGTGCTAATATTTTTGGCCTTCAAGATCCTTGATCTTGACGGTGCACCTTGCTTTAATCATTTGCACATGACGACGCGCCATAATTTTTCCTCGGGACTTCATAAGTCCCCGCCACTTGTCCGCGCTGGTCCCCGACACTAGTCCCGCTAGTAGTCCCGCCGGTACTCGCCCCGTGCTAGTCCCCGACACTAGTCCCGTTGGTGGTCCTCGACGCTAGTCCCGCTACTGGTCCCTGACACTTTGTCCCGCCGATGGTCCCCGGGTTCTTTTGACATTTTTCCGCCCTATGGCGACCTCCTTCCCTTTGTCCTTCTCGTCCCGTGCGCCACTCTTCCCGGACGCGGGTCCTTACTTGGCTCGTGGCCCCTCGGTCTTCTTGACGTTGCGTCCTGGTGGCCCTCTTGGCCCGGGCCACGTCCTCGCGCGCCGGCACCCCACTTATTTCTTTTCTTTTCAATTATTTTCTCCCTGCGTCGTGCAACTTGTGACACCACCTTCCCCGATGGTCCTTCTCCCTTCCGGGGGAAGTGCCGCCTTTGCTAATTTCTCACGGTCTCTTGCCGCTCGCCGTTCCGCTAGTTTCTCATTGGTCCAGTGGCTCCGGCACCTCCGGGCAACCTCTAAATCTCTAGGTGCCAGTACGAATGCCTTTAGTCCTCTTACCCTTCTTGCCTCCGGTTTTCTCTGTCGTGCACAATTCTGCGGTATACCGCCTCTCAATGGGCAAGGCTTATCTCGGGACCCACCGGTCCCGACAACGTACGACGAGCGAACCAGCTATCGCGGAGGGAAATCGAGTGACAAAAAGCGAACCAGCTATGGCGAATGGAAGTCGCGCTACGAAAAGCGAACCGACTATGGAGGAAGGACGTGGTGGGTGAAGACAAGATATCAACACGCGCGCGGTAGCAATAGCGCGACTTGGCCTGTAGAGCTGCCAGACAACAAAAGGGATACAACTTGGGCAGCAACGCCTTTTATACTTCTCCGCCCAGAGGAACTCTCCAGCAGCAGGCCTCGCGTCGGGACCAAGGAGGGTGCGGAAAGGGCGTTTCCGGTTGTTCGCATACCGCACGCCAGGGCCAATAGGACGCGAGGGCCTATAAAACGGTAAGGACAGGTTGGGACTCGAAAGGTCAGAGGTACCGTAAATTGCTGCTTGTCGGTCTACGAAATTCAACGGCGCAGATCAACGAAGCCACTGACATGTCAGAGGCCCTAACTTCTCCGCCAACTCCGGCGGACGAAGTCCTTGGACTTCGGCCAGATGTATAGGCGACAAACACGAGCCAACGTCTTATGGAAGCCCATATGACCGGCAACTGCCTGGTCATGGAACTCTGCTACAGCCTAGACGCAGAGTTGTCCAGTGGAGGGAACGCAGATACGTGGTTCTAGCTGACCAGATCTGTCATGCCAATACACGAGGCCGTTCTCCCGAGGAAGTATGAAGCAACGGTCTTGCCACTCTGCAGTGTCGCGTGGATGACGCGATAATCGGGGCAGTGGTGCTACTGAGTGCGATATGCGTCGATCACCGATTGATCAACAGTGGTGATGGAAATGGCAGCAAGATGGATGGGTTCCTGATTGTGACCGAGACGGCGGGACAAGGCATCGGCGACACGATTCGTTTTACCCTTGATGGGCTGAGTGGTGAAACTGAACTCGGATAAGTCACGCCACCAACGTGCCTGTCGAGGGGAAAGTTAGGGCTTCGTGAGGAAAGCCTGGACGACTGAGTTGTCTGTGCACACCGTGAAGGCACCCCGAGCAGGTAATGACGCCAATGCCGAGTAACATAAACTACTGCGAGAACCTCACGTTCATCGACAGTGTAGTTTGTCTCGGCAGGCAGTAGCTGACGGGAGTAGAAAGCGATCGGGCAATCCCCAACATGAGCCTCAACAGTCCCATCCTCCGCGATGGTCGGGGAGTAAGTAACGAGAGGACTGTCAGTGGACGGAAGTGGTGGGAGGGTAGGCGTCAGTCGAGAAGCAGTGTCGGCAGGAAGGGGGGGGGAAGGAGGAATATGAGGATAAGGTGAATCGGGTGGAGAGAGAAACATTTGAGAAAGTACAACTCCTACTGCAAAATCTGACGCATCAGTGGTGACGATGAAGGGGCGATCAAAATCGTGGAGGCGAAGAACCAGCACACAAGTCACCGCCTTCTTGAGGGCGCAAAAGGCGTCCTCGCACAGGGGTGTCCAAAACCACGGCGGGTTCTTCCGGAGGAGAGTGGAAGTAAGGACGTAGGAATACCTAGTGTACCCCTGGATAAAATTACTATAGTAACTAGTGAGGTCTAGGAAATTGCGAAGCTGCTTGGCAGATGTGGGGATGGGCCACTCTGCAATAGCAGTGATCTTCGCGTCGTCCATGTGGAGACCCTGGTCAGACATATGGTGTCCTAGGAAGTCCACTTTGCTCTGGGCAAAGCGACACTTCCTAAGCTTGGCAAAGAAGCCATGCTTGGGTAAGCATTGTAGGACATCGTGGAGGTGTTTGAGATGGTCTTCTAAGGTATGACTGTAGACTAAGATATCGTCCAGGTATACGAGAACGTATTCTTCGAGGATGTCCCTGAAGATGTCGTTCATCTCCATCTGGAAGCTGGCGGGTGCATTGGTGAGGCCGAATGGCATCACCGTGAACTCGTAGTAGCTGAAGCGCGGCCGAAAGGCAGTCTTCGACTGGTCCTTTGTGGCTACGCGGATCTGGTGGTAACCGCTACGAAGATCGATCTTCGTGAAGAACGGTTGCCTACCAGACGGTCAAACAACTCATCCGCGCGAGGCATGAGATAACTGTTCTTAACCGTGTAACGGTTAAGACCGCGGTAGTCAATGTAGAGGTGGACAGTTCCGTCCACTTTGTGAGCAAAGACGACGGGTGCACCCCAAGGGGAGTTACTGGGTTTAATAAAACGTAGTCGAAGGAGCTCCTCAAGTTGACGCTTGAGTTTCGTCGCCTCTGGAATCGAGAGTCGGTAGGGTGTCTGATGGTGGACTTGATAGTCAGACACGAGTTGGACAGAATGTTCAACACCGTGCATGGGAGGGATCCCGCTGTATGAGAAGTACAGGGGGAAAACATCACGGTACTCTCGAATCAAATCGCTAACGACGGGCTCTAAGTCGGTCATGACCCGCATAAGTTCCTCAACGTCTATGTCAGCACGAGACGTGTGGGTGGACTTGGTAATGAACGACATAGGGATCTGGGATGTCGAAGGGTTATCCGCAGGTTGATGATTGAATGTGGAGATGGGAGCCGCAAAGATGGAGGAAGGGTCATGGGAATCGGGCTCCAGTGAGATGAGCTCAACCTTGGGACAGAGTGGATCGTAGCGAAGAAGATCCATGACGTTCACCGAGTAGAACATGACGTCCTCTTGTCGTATGAAGTGAGCAAACTAACGAGGAGAAGTGAAGGCGATGTCTGGGTGGGACCTAGAGGGACGAGGGTGCTCGGAGGTAGGTCTGGAGGGGTGTCGCCGTGGTTCCAATGAAGGGGACTCGATGGGTTTGACCACACTTCGTTTTGGGAACGAGTATCTCAGTCGCCCATTCGGCCTCTGTGCCATAGAACCGGCGCGACCAGGGAGTGCCAAGGATAAAGTCGTACCCTGTCTTCAACACGTCGAAGTATGCGGAGGAATGGTAGCGCCGAGGCGCCTAGGTACTATCCGATGGCTGGAGGGTGAGGGAGAAGTGGCGGTCGGGAACCATCTGATCAAAGAAGCGCTGCGTCTTGTTATCTCCGAGGGTAACGGAGATAGGAGAGCGAGACCCGAAGGTAGTTAGGCGAGTTTCCTCAACCACGCGAAGGTGAATGAAGTCTCCCTGCGAGCTAGAGTCCCATAAAGCGCGGTACACCCTCGTAGATGTCCCCAAGCGAATAGGGATGATGAGGAGGGTGCGATCGGGGCCAGAGAGTAGAGCGAGAAGACGACGCAGGACGTTTACGTGTCTGGTGAGTCACTCTTGGCAAGCCTCAAGGATGTTCAAATCCAGTAGAGATGACAGAACGTCATCGCGAGTCGCCAACTGGCCACTACAACTAGTTGTGAGAATGGCGCGACGTGTCGAAAGTCTCGGAGGGGAAGGACTAGATGCGGCGGTTTGCTCTGGGGCAGATGGTACCTCGACAGACGGTGGGGCAGAGGGAACTGCGTCTGTCGTGTCCTGAGGATCCTCTGGATGGGTAGCCAAAGGGGCAAATCGTGACTCGGTGGTCGGGAAGCCGACTACGAGCGAGGCCTCAGCGGTACACTGCACCGTGGCTAACTGGGTGGGGCTGGCCGGGCGGGGCCGGAGGGGGACTGAGATCGACACTGATGAGAAATGTCAGCGTAGTGTCGATCGAGGGCGACATGGTGTGGACACCGTGAGGAGGTGTGTCCATCCTGGCGACAACAAAGGCAGTTGCGACGAGCCTCGAGGGTGGCGCGCTCCTCCGGAGATAGAGCTCCGTGAGGTGGAACAAAACCCTGCGGGAGGTCTATCTGAGGAACCGTGATCGTGCGGGCGCCAGCCTGTGCAACCCGATTGCTCGCACGACCCATGGCGAACATGGCCATCTGCAGGCGCTCGGCCACCGAGACAGTGTCGTCATCCAAGTGATACTGGATGACGTCTCGGAACTCCATGTCCTCGGGGGTGTCCCCAAGGGTAGGGTCAAGCTCGACTGAGGCATCCTCGCCGAACTCTAGAGAACTGTAGCGTCGAGAAAATGGCGCTCCAGGTCGAGCTGGTCAGTGAAAGCAGCCAGCGAAGGAGGATCGACCGAGGGTGGTGCACGTGACTTGGTGGTGGCGGTGGTGGATCGCGAAGAAGATGGGGCGTCGGAGAAGCGACTCTGGATCTTCTGGTACCGTCGAGCAGCCTCGTAGGCCTGCGCTGAGGAGGCGAAGCTCTGTTGCCAGAGCTCGATGTGGTATTCAGTCGAAGACTGACTACGAACCTCTTGGTCAAAAGGACCTCAGGTAGAAGTACCTCATCGCAAATGAGGTGAGCGTCCTTAAACACTTTGATATGACGCTCAAGATCGGTTGGTGCGCAGGACCCGCGCCACTGCGTCTGAGTGACCCGATCTAAGGCGTCAGTTGCATCGTGGAGAGTGCCGTAGCGGTCATGGAGGAACACGGTGAAATCTGCGAGAGTGGGAGTCTCCCCTGAGCGAGTACGATGGGTATAGTAGTTCTCCCATGCGGAGAACGCGCTGCCTCGCAATTTAGTTGCGAGCATGGAGCACCACAACGGCTGACTAGTGTTAGTCAGTGTCAGCTCATGTGTGGCAGCCTGCAATCAGTGCGACACACGCATTGCACCATTGAAGTCGGGTATGTCCGACAAATGCACAAGGGTGGGACCGCTATGCTGACGGCAAGGGGAGAGGGGTTGATGGGCCTGAACTGCAGCGGTAAATGTCGAGCCCGGTGCAGAGGTAGAAGTGGTGGCAGGCTGAGAGTCGGGGCTGCTGGTGGAAGGTCCAACAGACGTGGAGGCAACGGTCGCAGCCAACTGTGACGGAGTAGCGAGGTAGGAGGGTAGAAGGGGGGGAAACGGTCGAGGGAAACGAGCCGGCAAGACAGAGGTGGGAGGGGCAGTATAGGAAGAAGAAGGGTGAGCAGTCTGTGATGGGTGAGGCTGTCTCAGGGAGAGAATCTCCGCCTGGAGTTGTGCCACTGTGGCCTGTAGGGTAGCCACTCGTTGGGTGCGCGGGGTCGGAGCTGGAGGAGGCGGAGAGAGTACCCTAGTGGGAGGAGGGGGAACTCTGGGCCGTAGTGTCGCGACCGGTGCATGAAGCTGGGAAGCAACACCGGGGTGGGTAGATGAAACTGTCTGGCCAGATATCAATATTTGGGCGACAGCATATGCGGCGGTGGCCGAAGCGGCAGGGGCGGTGGGGGCCAATGGATGTGCCGCAACAGACGGTATGGTCTGAGCGACAACAACACTCACCACTGCGGTAGGGGAGTGTTGGGCCTGACCCGCGGAGGAGGACGGACCACCACGTCTCCGTCCCTGGAGTCGTGGAGAGCCGGACTCTGAGCTGGTAGGGGATGGGGTTTGAGAGTGGCGGGGAGAGCGATGAGGAGAACCCTTGAGGTGGTGAACTTCAAGGGCGAGCGCATTGACTTGCCTCCCCAGGGTGCAAACGCATGGAGTCGAGCATGCAGAGGTGCAAGGAGAGACGCAAGAACAACGCGAAGGTCCGTGGGGTCCACATAGTGCTGGACCGTCGGGTGGGTGGGCACCTGAGAGACGGAAGGCGCCGCGATGATCTCCTCGGCTATAGTTCCGTCTGTGGGTAGTGTCGCATGGGGGTAGACATGGCGGGAGGTGGAGAAAAAGGTGGGGAAGGAGATGGGTTATGGCGTGGGGATAGGGGACCACCGGTGAGAGGGAGGGGATCGCGGGAGTGGAGTGGGTAATCGTGAGTCGGCTCACTCCGTGACCAGCGGGTCGCGCGTGAGATGGTGGGAAGAATCCGCTCGAAGGGAGAAAAGCCGTTCAAGTCCAGAGTGCTCGACGGGAGGAGGCGGGAGAGTAGGGGGGTTAGGAGAACCCTAAACCCTAGAAAAACCCTAAGAGAACACTAACCGGTGTTTCGGTGGTTAGGGTAGGGCAGTGGCGACCTAATCAAGAAAAGAAGATAGTAACAATGGAGGGGAGGGGGAGAGAAAATAAAATAAACAGTGAAATTTCAAGATAAAAAATAATAATAATAATAATAAAAATAAAGAAAGAAAGAAATAAGCAAAAGGTAAGAAGAAAAATAATACTTAATT